GAATGGAGAATGGGCCATCCGGCATCGACCAGCTAAGATGCTTCTGGACTCCGTGGCACCAGCAGAGGAGGCGGGCCACCAAAAGGTGATCTTCTACCTGCTCATCCAGCGGAAGCCCCTCTTCTACGTCATCAACATCATCGCCCCCTGCGTGCTGATTTCCTCCGTCGCCATCCTCATCTACTTCCTTCCTGCCAAGGGTACCTGGGAATGTGGGGGGGCAGCAGCACATGGGCCCATGGGGGTGGTCAGGCCTGATCACGGCACAGGGTGGCACCACAATCCTAGGACAAGGGTAGTGGGCTCCCTGCAGGGTAAGAAAGTTCCTCAGGGGGTGTGTGGGGACCTGCTCTGAGGGCATCTTGGTCATGGGCAGCGGGCGGTCAGAAATGCACAGTGGCCACCAACGTGCTCCTGGCCCAGACCGTCTTCCTTTTCCTCGTGGCCAAGAAGGTGCCTGAGACCTCCCAGGACGTGCCGCTCATCAGCAAGTAAGGCCAGTCCTCACACCTGCTTCCGCCCCTCACCACCCATGCAGGGGGTGGAGCCCCACGGCCTAGCTAAGCAAGTGTTCTACCAGTGGGCTATATCCCCAGTACCCCCTTCCCTTCCTGAGGCGTTTGTCATGACCTTTCGCCAGGGGGCCTGAGGGAAGCAGGGTGGGTGGCGCCTGGGTGTGAGGTGCCTAAGGGACACTCAGCCTCCTGCTTGTCTGACCCTGGACAGGTACCTGACCTTCCTCATGGTGGTGACCATCCTCATCGTCGTGAACTCTGTGGTCGTGCTCAATGTGTCCTTGCGGTCCCCACACACACACTCCATGGCCCGGGGAGTCCGCAAGGCAAGGCACTTCCCTGGCCACTTGGGCATCCATCTGTCCTTCCCAATCACGTGACTCCCTCCACATCCCTGTTCCCTACTCCCAAATTCAGCAGCAAATCTATGCCTTACATATCTTCAGGCATAAAGTAGACAAATGGTAATACCAGTGTCCAGGGAGACATTACATGTACTAACTTCTTTAACATCCATAAAGACCCTTGAGAGGGTATTGGTGTATTGTCTTGATTGAACAGACAGGGAAACAGAGACACAGAGAGGTTGAGCAGCTTACCCAATATTACCCAGTTCCCAGAAAGCAGAGGAGAGAGGATTCTGTCCCAGCTGTCTGTGGGCTCTGGGGCCCATGGTAGCAGACAGCTGAGAATGGTGTTACAAATGTAGATTCCCTAGGTACATCCCAGGAGCCTAGTATATTCTAGCGGCAGGCAGGGGGTAAGGGTCTGTTTGTTTGAAAAAAGTGCCCTGGTGATTCTAGAGGTCACAAAAGCTTAGAGCTCAGGTTCTGTGTCCAGGAGAAAGCAGTCAAGCTGAACCAGGGCCCAGTCGCTGCCCCTCAGGCATGGCCTTCATGCCCACCCCCTCAAGCTTGGCCTGGCTGCCCGAGCAGGACCTACCAGAGCAAACCCTCTACAGGTGTTCCTGAGGCTCCTGCCCCAGCTGTTATGGATGCACGTTCGCCCGCTGGCCCCTGCTGCTGTCCAGGATGCCAGGCTGCGGCTCCAGAATGGCTCCTCCTCCAGGTGGCCCATCACGACTCGGGAGGAAGGGGGTCTCTACCTCCCCCGCAGTGAACTCCTCTTCAGACAGAGGCAGCGCAATGGATTGGTGCGGGCAGCGCTGGAGAAGCTAGGTGAGGCCCAAGGGGTGCACTGGGGACAGCCCTGTCCCGTTAATGCGCGTGGAGCTGGACACAGCAGGGAAGTGCTGGGCGGTGATCAAGTTGGAGAGAGCAGCCAGGCTTCTGGGGAGAAGCCAGATCCCTGCTAGTTTTCTTCCACTGACTATTTCCCCAGCAGAAAATGGTCCGGAAATGAGGCAGAGCCAGGAGTTCTGTAGCAGCCTGAAGCAAGCCTCCCCGGCCATCCGGGCCTGCGTTGATGCCTGTAACCTCATGGCCCGCGCCCGGCACGAGCAGAGTCACTTTGACAGTGTAAGCTGGGGCACGGTGGGCAGATACTCTAGTGTAATATGGGGGCAGGGTGAATGGGGTGTCCAGTTAGGTCTGGGGATGGAAAATGCAGAGCTGGGAAGGGGGAAGGATGAGCAACCACTGGGACAGAGACCACGAAAGAAGACAGGTTGGTACTTAGACGGGTGAAAAGACTGAAGAACGGAGAATGGAGGGCAGCTGTGGACCTAACAGTGAAAGAGGGAGCCAGGCTGGATGCTGCCCCTGGCCACACCTCTGTCCCACAATGCGCTGCTGCCCTCAGGGGAACGAGGAGTGGTTCCTGGTGGGCCGAGTGCTGGACCGAGTCTGTTTCCTAGCCATGTTCTTCCTCTTCATCTGCGGCACCGCCGGCATCTTCCTCATGGCCCACTACAATCGGGTGCCCGACCTGCCGTTCCCCGGAGACCCCCGCCCCTACCTGCCTTTGCCAGACTGAGCCCACCCATCACCCCTGGGCCCCGGAGTCAGCTATGTGGGCCATGCTGTCTACGGAGCTGTACTCTGTGTTGGGATCTTGCGTGTGTATTGCAGAAGCACCTTGGGAAGTACCCATACATCCCTGGGAAGAGAGAGAGAAATAAAGAGACAGGAGTTCTGGAGTGGTTGGTGATGGGTGTGGTCATTCATGACTTTGGACCGGCGTCTTGTGGCAATGGCTGGCTCCTACTGGCACCAGTGTTACTCTTCCTACATTGCTCTCACTTCAGCACAGCATTACTGACTCCCAGTCACTTTGAAGCCCTAAGGACTCTGCTTTTCATAATGCCCTGGGCTGGGTAAAGTCTTGCCCTTTGAGGCCTGGGAACATTTCCTCCTGCCTTTTTGTAAGATGCATATTTATTATTTTTAACTAGATGTATGTACCCGGAGTGGGTTATGTGTACGTTAGTGAGGGTGCCCACTGGAGGCCAGCAGAGGGTGTCAGAACCCTGGAGTTGGAGTTGGCCAGCAGACAATGGGTGCTGGGAACTGAACTTATGTCCTCTGCAAAAGCAAGTGCTCTTAACCACTGAGCCATCTCTCCAGCTCCAATATCTCTCTCCCCTTTGTGAATTTTCTCTGGAAGAAGGTTGGTAGGAGATGTGGAACCTCTCTTAAAAGAAGAATGTAGGCCAGGTGGTGGTGGCACTAAGGAGGCAGAGCCAAGTGGATCTCTGTGAGTTCAAGGCCAGCCTGGGCTACAGAGCGTGATCCAGGAAAGGCACCAAAACTACACAGAGAAACCCTGTCTCGAAAAACAAACAATAATAATAATAATAATAATAATAAAAATAATAATGCAGGGGGTGGTGGTGCACACCTTTAATCCCAACACTAGAGGGTAGATCTCTGTGAGTTCAAGGCCAGCCTGGTCTACAAAGTGAGTTCCAGGACAGCCAGGACTGTTACACAGAGAAACTCTGTCTCAACCCTCCCCCCAAAAGAAGAAAACCAGCGTTGGGTGTGGAGGGGTACGCCTTTAATCCTGAGCACTAGGGAGGCAGAGAAAGCCAATCACTGTGAGTTTGAGGCCATCCAGGGCTAACAGTGATACTGTCTCAAAAAAGGGGGAGGGGGTGAGGAGGTGGGAGACACCTCAATGGTTAAAAACACTGGATATTTTCCCAAGGGATCTGGGTTTGATTTCCAGCACCCACATGGCAGCTCACAACCACCTGCAACTCCAGTTCCAGGGAATCTAACACCCTCTTCTGGCTTCTGCAAATCACACATGGGGATGGAGCACAGATGTATGCACAGGCAAAACACCCATATACATAAAATGAAAATAAACCTTTTTTTTTAAAAAAAGCACTAAGAGCTAGAAGTGTGGAATATAAGTGTAACCCATTTCAGCTACCTGTCTGTCTTCTGGGTACCACAGCCTCAAAAACATACCTTCAGTGATACTTTCCCATTCATTTGATGTAATACTCCTCCCCCACCCCATTGATCACAAAAAATTCTTAAGTTTTACCATCTTTTCCCGTTGTTAGAAGTTCTTTACATTACGGACAGGCAAGAAGATTCACCTGACCCACATTTCACATGAGCAAGCTGGGGTCCAGAATAAGAGGAACTACCTGGACCACTCCCTTAGGGTCCAAATTCCCATCTCTGACTCAGTCTCGGACACTGCAAGGGAGATTCCTAGCCCTGCAAATACACCTTTCTTTCCCTCTCTTCTCAAAAGCCAGGGCACTGGCAGAGCTAGGACAGGGCTGGGACAAGACACTGGGCGGGGCCTGACGAGCGCTCCGCTCCCTCAGCTTCCCTCGTACAAAGTATCAGGAACTAGGATGCTCCCTTGAGGTCTAACTGGGGAGAAAAACATGGCCTTACTGGGTGACCAGAGGGCAGCCATGGGCCAGTCCAGGGAGACTGTTTCCTCACTTGTAAACGCAGGAGTAAACATTAACTTCTGCCTCTCCTCGCTTCTAACAATGGGACATGCACAGCGGGTGGCTTTGGAGATCCATCACCCACCAGGGAATCTATTCACTCCTGTGATGTGTTTGGGGCAGTCGTTAAGGGTGTGGGGGCAAAGACTGCAGTTGAGGAGGCAATTTGATAAATGAGACCATCTCGGTTCTCAGTGAATGTCTTTGTCACCCTGGTGCGACTCCCCCCACCCTCCCTTCACCCAAGGCAGGGAGGGTCTCATGTATCCCTGGCCGGCCTCGAACTCGCTATGATGGTCAGGCTCGTCTGGATCTCCCTGCCTCCACTTCCCAGGAGCCAGGGTAACAAATTTGTTTGGAGTACTCGCTCGTCCACTGCAGACACCAAGGGCAAAGGATCAGCTCTCAGAGACGGACACCTGGTACCATGCACTGAGGGTTACTGCGCTGACACTTCCCCTGGAATCCGCGGGGAGGTTAAAGCGGCCGGCCGGCTGCGTAGACAGCGCCCAGTGCCTCGCGAGGGCGACCGCCGGCGAGCAGGCCCGGCCACGGCGGACCGCGACTCGCGCAGGGACTGGGCCGCCCTGCAGGGAAAGGGGCCCCGCACCCGGCCTGCGCGCCAACGTTCCGCTAAGCCGCTCGCCAACCGGAAGTAGCCGGGCCCTTGACGAGAGGACCGGGCAGAGCGGAAGTCACTCCGTGAGGCAGTGGCGACAGCGGCGGCGAGAGGATGAACAACAAGTTCGACGCGTGAGTGGCGCGTGGCCGCCCCCGGGGCCCCTTCCCCCAACCGTCCCCCGGGACCGCTCCCGCCGGGGCCGGGCGCGCACTCAGCCG